TGTTTTTTGGCCCTTTTTGACCCCTAATTCCTAAAATTTGGAGGCAATTACCCCCAAAAACAATCCCAGCATTCCCTTTGTGATATGGAACCTTGTGGTACAATGTCAGAGAGATACATACACTTACATACAAGTTATGTCAGGAAGTTACAAAAATGCTTATTTTTGGCCCCTTATTCCTTAACTGTTGGTACCATAACCCCCACCTTCCTTTTGTGGTATTGAACCTTATGGTAAAATTTCATTGAGATCCATTCACTTAAACTAAAGTTAGAGTGCGAAAACTAATGTGTCTTCGGACGACGACGACGACGACGCCGACGCCGACGTCAAACCAATATACGACCACAAATTTTTTTTGCGGTCGTATAAAAACAATAAAACATCCCCAGTTAAAATTTGATAAAAACAGTAAAACATCCCCCTTTAAATTTTGATAAAAATAGTAAAACATCCCCAGTTAAAATTTGGTAAAAACAGTAAAAACATTCCCCATAAAAATTTGGTAAAAACCGTTAAAACATTCCCCATTAAAATTTGGTAAAAACAGTAAAACACCCCCCTTTAAAATTTGATAAAAACAGTAAAACATCCCCAGTTAAAATTTGATAAAAACAGTAAAAACATTCCCTATTAAAATTTGGTAAAAACAGTAAAAACGTGCCCCAATAAAATTTGGTAAAACCAGTAAAACATTCCCAATTTGGTAAAAACAGTAAAACACCCCCTTTAAAATTTGATAACAACAGTAAAACATCCCCCCTTTAAATTTGGTAAAAACAGTAAAAACGTTCCCCATTAAAATTTGGTAAAAACGGTAAAAACGTGCTCCTTTGAAATTTGGTAAAAACAGTAAAAACATTCCGCATTAAAATTTGGTAAAAACAGTAAAACACCCCCCTTTAAAATTTGATAAAAACAGTAAAAAACATCCCCTTTAAAATTTGATAAAAACAGTAAAACATTCCCAGTTTAAATGTGGTAAAACCAGTAAAAGCATCCCCCTTTACAATTTGATAAAAACAGTAAAACATCCCCATTAAAATTTGGTAAAAACAGTAAAAACATCCCCCTTAAATTTTGATAAAAATAGTAAAACATCTTCACATGCTGACTGAGCCACTTCGCTCTCAGTCTGTACCAAAAATAGCGGATTCTTTCTTAAATTTGATAAAAACAGTAAAAACATCCCTCTTTAAAATTTGATAAAAACAATAAAACATCCCCAGTTAAAATTTGATAAAAACAGTAAAAACATTCCCCATTAAAATTTGATAAAAATAGTAAAACATCTTCACATGCTGACTGAGCCACTTCGCTCTCAGTCTGTACCAAAAATAGCGGATTCTTTCTTAAATTTTGATAAAAATAGTCAAACATCCCCATTAAAATTTGGTAAAAACAGTAAAAACATCCCTCTTTAAAATTTGAAAAAAACAATAAAACACCCCCTGTTAAAATTTGATAAAAACAGTAAAATCGTCCCCCTTTAAAATTTGATAAAAACAATAAAACATCCCCAGTTAAAATTTGATAAAAACAGTAAAAACATCCCTCTTTAAAATTTGATAAAAACAATAAAACATCCCCAGTTAAAATTTGATAAAAACAGTAAAAACATCCCTCTTTAAAATTTGATAAAAACAATAAAACATCCCCAGTTAAAATTTGATAAAAACAGTAAAAACATTCCCCATTAAAATTTGGTAAAAACAGTAGAAACTTTCCCCATTAAAATTTGGTAAAAACAGTAAAAAGTTCCCCCCAGTTAAAATTTGATAAAAAAAGTAAAAACATTCCCATAAAAATTTGGTAAAAACAGTACAATCATTCTTCATTAAAATTTGGTAAAAACAGTAAAAACATCCCTCTTTAAAATTTGATAAAATCAATAAAACATCCCCAGTTAAAATTTGATAAAAACAGTAAAAACATTCCCCATTTAAATTTGATAAAAAAAGTAAAAACATTCCCATAAAAATTTGGTAAAAACAGTAAAATCATTCTTCATAAAAATTTGTTAAAAACAGTAAAAACATCCCCATAAAAATTTGATAAAAACAGTAAAACATCCCTCTTTAAAATTTGATAAAAACAATAAAACACCCCCAGTTAAAATTTGATAAAAACAGTAAAATCGTTCCCCTTTAAAATTTGATAAAAACAATAAAACATCCCCAGTTAAAATTTGATAAAAACAGTAAAAACATCCCTCTTTAAAATTTGATAAAAACAATAAAACATCCCCAGTTAAAATTTGATAAAAACAGTAAAAACATTCCCCATTAAAATTTGATAAAAATAGTAAAACATCTTCACATGCTGACTGAGCCACTTCGCTCTCAGTCTGTACCAAAAATAGCGGATTCTTTCTTAAATTTTGATAAAAATAGTCAAACATCCCCATTAAAATTTGGTAAAAACAGTAAAAACATCCCTCTTTAAAATTTGATAAAAACAATAAAACACCCCCAGTTAAAATTTGATAAAAACAGTAAAATCGTCCCCCTTTAAAATTGATAAAAACAATAAAACATCCCCAGTTAAAATTTGATAAAAACAGTAAAAACATCCCTCTTTAAAATTTGATAAAAACAATAAAACATCCCCAGTTTAAATTTGATAAAAACAGTAAAAACATCCCTCTTTAAAATTTGATAAAAACAGTAAAAACATTCCCCATTAAAATTTGGTAAAAACAGTAGAAACTTTCCCCATTAAAATTTGGTAAAAACAGTAAAAAGTTCCCCCCAGTTAAAATTTGATAAAAAAAAGTAAAAACATTCCCATAAAAATTTGGTAAAAACAGTACAATCATTCTTCATTAAAATTTGGTAAAAACAGTAAAAACATCCCTCTTTAAAATTTGATAAAATCAATAAAACATCCCCAGTTAAAATTTGATAAAAACAGTAAAAACATTCCCCATTTAAATTTGATAAAAAAAGTAAAAACATTCCCATAAAAATTTGGAAAAAACAGTAAAATCATTCTTCATAAAAATTTGGTAAAAACAGTAAAAACATTCCCCTTTGAAATTTGATAAAAACAGTAAAACATCCCTCTTTAAAATTTGATAAAAACAATAAAACACCCCCAGTTAAAATTTGATAAAAACAGTAAAATCGTCCCCCCTTTAAAATTTGATAAAAACAATAATACATCCCCAGATAAAATTTGATAAAAACAGTAAAAACATCCCTCTTTAAAATTTGATAAAAACAATAAAACATCCCCAGTCAAAATTTGATAAAAACAGTAAAAACATTCCCCATTAAAATTTGGTAAAAACAGTAGAAACTTTCCCCATTAAAATTTGGTAAAAACAGTAAAAAGTCCCCCCCCCCCCCCTAAAATTTGATAAAAAAAAAGTAAAAACATTCCCATAAAAATTTGGTAAAAACAGTACAATCATTCTTCATTAAAATTTGGTAAAAACAGTAAAAACATCCCTCTTTAAAATTTGATAAAATCAATAAAACATCCCCAGTTAAAATTTGATAAAAACAGTAAAAACATTCCTCATTAAAATTTGATAAAAAAAAGTAAAAACATTCCCATAAAAATTTGGTAAAAACAGTAAAAACATCCCCCTTTAAAATTTGATAAAAACAGTAAAACATCCCCCTTTAAAATTTGATAAAAATGGTAAAATATCCCGTTAAAATTTGAGAAAAACAAATAAAATTCCCCTGGCCTTTTAAAAGCATGTTACAGAGCTTCACATGCTGACTGAGCCACTTCGCTCTCAGTCTGTACCAAAAATAGCGGATTCTTGGTACTGGGGATAAAATATCCCTGTACTGGGGATAAAATATCCCCAAAAGGTTTTTGACCGAGCCTCTTCACTCTCAGTCTGTACCAAAAATAGCGGATTCTTGGTACTGTGGATAAAATATCCCCAAAAGGTTTTTGACCGAGCCTCTTCACTCTCAGCCAGACTGAGCCTCTTCACTCTCAGTTTGTACCAGTTAATTTGGATACTTGGTACGTATGGAAGGGAACGTTACTATACCTAGAGCAGAGGTATAGCATCTGTGAACCCTAAACACAGAGTACGGCTTAACTTCCCATACGTGTATACAAGTATCCAATGAGTACTGATAAGTAACATTATCATGTTTTCTATGTCAGTCACTGAACAAAATAAAATGTAGATACATGTTTTTGTGAACCTACTGCAATAATAACATAAGACCTTGGTTCTAAGTATCCAGTTGTAAGAAGTGGAATATTTTTTTGTATAAAAGTTCTATAAAAGATTGATCAAGTAGTCTAGGTTTGATTTTCATGAGGGATTGAAGATGAACACAGTGTGCCAGTATAAACTCAACAATAGAGAAAAACCACGTCAAAAAAACTGTCTAACAATAAATGATTGTAATTAATAGTACCTAAGTGTATTTGAATGTTACTGTGAATTCATTATTATTCATTGGATACCAATTTTCGAGGATACAGGTGGACCACGAAATTAAATGGTCACCAAATAACAAAATTTTATAGGCTTGTATACAGTTTTGGCAAAACAACAAAATTAAATATCCAGGAACATGCAAGTTTTCCTTAATCCATGAAAATTAATACCCACAAAAATAAATGAATCAACAGTATATGGTATAAATCTTTCTTTTGTATTGAAATCCATGTTTCACTATCTTTGATCTTTGGACTTAAGGGATAGCTGTCTCATTGGCTGCCTCATCTCCTTATTTATAAAGCTGAGAGTTAATTGTAGTTTTCTATGTTGATAACCCATCGAGTTACACTTTCAGGATTACGAATAATTTTGCAAAAGGTATATTGTGTGGAATTTCTTGAGGGACGTCTATATAGAATTTGGTATAAAAGAATAAATTCTGTAAAAGTATTAAAAAAAGAAAGAAATTTTTCTATCTTTTCTGTTGTTTTTAAAAAATTGAAGGTAGAAAACATAATTTTTATAATTCATTTAATGAGCAAACACTCTTCATTTCATACACAGAACTGTCCTCAAATGCATGCAAGTTATTGTCACATCCAATTCTTTGCCTTTTGAGTTCAACTTCACATGAAAAATGCCACATTTAAGTCATATAAATGATAGTAAAGTAACATCCACATTATAAGTCTTTTAAAAATACCAACTGAAGATTGGTTATTGTTTTATGACTGTTAAAGCTTCTCTTCTAATACAATTAACTTTAGGATGAAGTCTTGACCGCTGTGATTCCTCTTCAAACAGAGTTGCTTTGTTCTGAACATCTCTCAACATACTGAAAAGAAAGAAAAAACAACATTTATAATCATAAAGTGTGCTATTTGTTTGATTAAACATTCATATGAAAGATTAGAATGACAAATTTCAAATTTGGTAAAGTAACTTGACCTATAATTGTTAACTTCTATGTCTTTTTGTCTGTGATGGCAAGTTTTCTCTTTGGCAGTTATACCATATCTTCTTATTTTCATATGAAACTTTAAATGTAAAAGGGGAATAAAGGAGGGGGGGGGGGGGGGTAGGGATGGTCATAGGATAAACAATGTATATACATAGTACTTAAAGACAAAATGAAAAATATTTTATAATAAAATGCTCCGCTGGGGCGCAGCTTGATACGACCGCTAAGGTCGAACCCTGAACAGTTGGGGCAAGTATGGACACAACATTCAAGCTTGATACAGCACTGAATTTGGATTGTAATTAAATATTTGACACAGCAAAGGTTTCTGACACAGAATGAATGTGGTCTTAAGAACTTAATTTTTTTTAATTTACCTATTCAAACCATATCATTATTATTTGCTTTTATATATAAATCAGAAATAACCAATTTAAAATGGAAAATTTTAAAGAAAAAAAAGGAAAAAAAAATCCCCCCCCCAAATTTTTTGAACCCCCTTATGATTCATCACCCCCAAACTCAATCCCAGCCTTCCCTTTGTGGTATGGTACCTTACAGTACAATTTCAGAGAGATCCATACACTTGAACACAAGTTATTGTCTGGAAACTAGAAAAATGCTTGTTTTTGGCCCCTTTTTGGCCCCAAATTCCTAAACGTTTAGGGCAATTACCCCCAAACTCAAACCCGGCTTTCCCTTTGTGATATGGAACCTTGTAGTACAATTTCATAAAGATCCATACACTTACACACAAGTTATTGTCCTGAAACTAGAAAAATGCTTGTTTTTTTGCCCCTTTATGGCCCCTAATTCCTAAAATTTTGAGGCAATTACCCCCAAAATCAATCCCAGCCTTCCCTTTGTGGTATGGTACCTTGAAGTACAATTTCAGAGAGATCCATACACTTGAACACAAGTTATTGTCTAGAAACTAGAAAAATGCTTATTTTTGGCCCCTTTTTGGCCCCTAATTCCTAAAATTTGGAGGCAATTACCCCCAAAATCAATCCCAGCATTCCCTTTGTGATATGGAACCTTGTGGTACAATGTCAGAGAGATCCATACACTAACACACAAGTTATGTCTGGAAGTTACAATAAAATGCTCCGCAGGGTGCAGCTTGATACGACTGCAGAGGTCGAACCCTGAACAGTTGCGGCAAGTATGGACACAACATTCAAGCTTGATACAGCTCTGAAGTTGGATTGTGATTAAATATTTGACACAGCATAGGTTTCTGACACAGAATGAATGTGCTCTAAAACTATGAAATTTTAAATTGGACATTCACCTATTATGGTCCAATATCCAAAATCTAAATACATGGTTAGATTCAGCATATCAAAGAACCCCAAGAATTCAATTTTTGATGAAATCAAACAAAGTTTAATTTTGGACCCTTTTGACCTCAATGTGGACAAAGTTGATAACGGGGCCCAAAAATCAAAAATCTAAATACATGGTTAGATTCAGCATATCAAAGAACCCCATATATTCAATTTTTGTTGAAATCAAACAAAGTTTAATTTTGGACCCCAATTTGGACCAACTTGAAAACTGGGCCCATAATCAAAAATCTAAATACATGTTTAGATTCAGCATAACAAAGAACCCTAAGAATTCAATTTTTGTTAAAATCAAACTAAGTTTAATTTTGGACCCTTTGGAACTTAATGTAGACCAATTTGAAAACGGAAACAAAAATTAAGAATCTAAATACACGGTTAGATTCGGCATATCAAAGAACCCCAATAATTCAATTTTTGATGAAATCAAACAAAGTTTAATTTTGGACCCTTTGGACCTCAATGTGGACCAATTTAAAAACGGGGCCCAAAATCCAAAAACTTAATACACGGTTAGATTCAGCATATTAAAGAACCTCAAGAATTCAAGAATAAAACCCCATTGAAATTGGTCAAGAAATATGCAATTTATACGAAGTATCTTCTTTTGCACAATACTGTGCAATTGAATATTTCTTGCTATTGCGCAATACTGTGCTATTGGATATTTCTTGCTATTGCGCAATACTGTGCAATTGAAGATTTCTTGCTATTGCGCAATACTGTGCAATTGAAGATTTCTTGCTATTGCGCAATACTGTGCAATTGAAGATTTCTTGCTATTGTGAAATACTGTGCAATGAAAAATTTCTTGCTATTGCACAATACTTATTATGTAATAATTTTCACATCCTGTTTGGTGTGTATCTCCTACCATATCATTATTATTTGCTTTTAAATATAAATCAGAAATAACCAACTTAAAATGGAAAATTTTAAAAGAAAAAATAAAGGAAAAAACGAAAAAAAAGGGAAAAAAAAAATCCCTTCCCCCCAAATTTTTTGAACCCCCTTATGATTCATCACCCCCAAAATCAATCCCAGCCTTCCCTTTGTGGTATGGTACCTTGCAGTACAATTTCAGAGAGATCCATACACTTGAACACAAGTTATTGTCTGGAAACTAGAAAAATGTGTTTTTTGACCCCAAATTGCAAAACGTTTCAGGCAATTACCCCCAAACTCAAAACCCAGCTTTCCCTTTGTGATATCGAACCTTGTAGTACAATTTCAGAAAGATCCATACACTTACACACAAGTTATTGTCCTGAAACTACAAAAATGCTTGTTTTTTGTCCCTTTTTTGTCCCCTAATTCCTAAAATTTTGAGGCAATTACCCCCAAAATCAATTCCAGCCTTTCCTTTGTGATATGGAACCTTGTAGTACAATGTCAGAGAGATCCATTCACTTACACACAAGTTATTGTCTGGAAGTTACAAAAATGCTTATTTTTGGCCCCTTTTTGGCCCCTAATTCCTTAACTGTTGGTACCATAACCTCCAAAATCAATCCCAACCTTCCTTTTGTGGTATTGAACCTTATGGTAAAATTTCATAGAGATCCATTCATCTAAACTAAAGTTAGAGTGCGAAAACCAATGTGTCTTCGGACGACGACGACGACGCCAACGTCATACCAATATACGACCACAAATTTTTTTTTCGGTCGTATAAAAACAAGAGTATATATCCACTGAGATGTCTCGCCTCTTTTAATTATCATTGAATAGATGTTGAAAGTCTGTAATATGATGGTTTTATATCAAGTATCACATAAACTTATCAATGCTTTATGAAAACAAAGTCATGGTATAATGAAACATGCCAGACAGACAACTTACAATCATTCCAATCACAAAATAGTGGTCCTATCACCAAAAGCACCTGATTAACATTTCAGTATTTAGCCTTAAAATCTTGACATTGACCAATGAACCATAAAAATGAGGTCAAGGTCATATGAACCCTGCAAGACAGACAGAAAACTCACAATCATGATACACCAAATATAATTGACCTATAGCTAATAGTATTGAAGAAACAGACCTAGCCACAAAAACTCAACATTGTCCAATGAACTCTGAAATTTCTTGTATTCTGAGGGTACATGTGAACCACTATAATTCAAATCTTCAACCAAATACAATTTTTCATCAGCTTGTATGCAGAATTTTCAAAAGCCACAAACTCAAATATCCAAGTTAAATGAATCTACAGTTAAGTCTGAGATACAGATTAGACCATTTAACTTTAACTTTGATCATTGAACAGTGAAATGAGGTCAAAGTCAGGTGAATCTTAAATGATAGACATGTAGAAGATGCAAGGATCCCATATACCTAATTCAATTATCTTATTGCTCATAAAAAGTGAGTATTTCACATGACAATTTTTTTTTTCTCAAGCAGTCCTCATATGTAATGGACAAGATTGGCACCTGTTAAAATCACCTGCTTTTGTTTGCACATGACATAAGTCAGAAACCTGTTGTTCAGTGGTTGTTGTTTGTTGATATAATTCATAAGTGTTCATTTCTTGTTCACGTCGTTGTTGTCATCTCCATCAGCGTCATTGTCGTCCCAATTCGAATCAAAAGGAAGGTTTTTTGGGGGTGAATGTCTCAACCGTTTAGGAACTAGGAGCCAAAAAGGGGCCCAACAAGCATTTTTCTAGTTTCAGGACAACTAGTGTATAAGTATTTTGATTGCTCTAAAATTGTACCACAAGTAGTATGTTGGATTTCAGTATTGCGCATTAGCAAAAAATCTTTAATTGCATAGAATTGTGCATTGCACAAAAGCACAGTATTGTGCATTGCACAAAAGCACAGTATTGCGCATTAGCAAGAAATCTTCATTTAATTGTACGGTATTGCGCAATAGCAGGAAATCTACAATTGTGCAATATTGCACTATAGCACAGTATTGCGCAATGGCAAGAGATCTTCAATTGCAAGGTAATACGCAAAAGCAAATATTTTCTTCAATTGCACAATAGCAAGAAATTTTCAATTGCACAGTATTGCACAATAGCAATAAATCAATAATTGCATAGTATTGCGCAAAAGCAAGAAATCTTCATTTGCACAGTATTGTGCAATAGCAAGAAATCTTCAATTGCACAGTATTGTGCAATAGCACAGTATTGTGCAATAGCACAGTATTGTGCAACAACAAATTATTGTGCAATAGCACAGTATTGCACAATAGCAAGATATCTTCAATTGCACAGTATTGCCCAATAGCAAGAAATCTTCAATTGCATGTAGTATTGTGTAATAGCAAGAAATCTTCAATTGCACAGTATTGTGCAACATCAAGAAATCTTCAATTGCACAGTATTGCGCAATAGCAAGAAACTTTCAATTGCACATTATTGCGCAATAGCAAGAAATTTTCAATTGCACAATAGCAAGAAATCAATAATTGCACAGTATTGTGCAGTATTGCGCAACAGCAAGAAATCTTCATTTGCACAGTATTGTGCAATAGCAAGAGAGAAACTGGAATGGGTCAAATTTGGCCTTCAATGTTGTGAGAGTTATGTCATAGATGGTGTGAGGTTAACTTGGGTCATTTGCATAGCTAGGTCAGTACACAATGTAGTTCCATTCATTGACAATGTCAGGGGCGTAGCTAGGTATTAAGTCAACTGTGGGCACACATCGGCAGGGGGTCTTGGGGCCGCTTAAGGCCCCCAGAAGGTCCAGGGCGGAGCCCTTGTAGGGGAAAGGGAAAACGGTTTTCAGCATTTTATTTGCATAATTTTGAGTACAAAAATATCAAATTTACTGGTTTTTATCATGATAATATTCATGAAGAAAAGTTCGAAGAATTATGAATAATTTTACAATAACATCTGACTGGTGAATTAACGCAGTACAATCGGAAATTTTAAAAATTTTACAATATGCATTGCCCAGTGTAGATCTGCGTAGCCCTTTAATTAAGTAGTACACCTTGTTTGGTATTTTCATATCTATTCCTTTCTGATTGAGGATAGTTGATACATACGTTAATTGAAAGAACATTTTGACGATCCTTCATTAAAACTAGAGGCTCTAAAGAGCCTGTGTCGCTCACCTTGGTCTATGTGCATATTAAACAAAGGACACAGATGGATTCATGACAAAATGGTGTTTTGGTGATGGTGAAGTGTTTGTACATGTGAACCTCCCGACGGGAGTGCAAATCCTGAAAACGGATTTCAGCATTTTATTTGCACAATTTTGAGTACAAAAATATCAAATTTACTGGTTTTTATCATGATAATATTCATGAAGAAAAGTTCGAAGAATTATGAATAATTTTACAATAACATCTGACTGGTGAATTAACGCAGTACAATCGGAAATTTTAAAAATTTTACAATATGCATTGCCCAGTGTAGATCAGCGTAGCCCTTTAATTAAGTAGTACACCTTGTTTGGTATTTTCATATCTATTCCTTTCTGATTGAGGATAGTTGATACATACGTTAATTGAAGGAACATTTTGACGATCCTTCATTAAAACTAGAGGCTCTAAAGAGCCTGTGTCGCTCACCTTGGTCTATGTGCATATTAAACAAAGGACACAGATGGATTCATGACAAAATTGTGTTTTGGTGATGGTGAAGTGTTTGTAGATCTTACTTTACTGAACATTCTTGCTGCTTACAATTATCTCTATCTATAATGAACTTGGCCCAGTAGTTACAGTGGGAAATATTTTGTAAAAATTTACAAAATTTATGAAAATTGTAAAAAATTGACTATAAAGGGCAATAACTCCTTAAGGGGTCAATTGACAATTTTGGTCATGTTGACTTATTTGTAGATCTTACTTTGCTGTACATTATTGCTGTTTACAGTTTATCTCTATCTATAATAATATTCAAGATAATAACCAAAAGCTGCAAAGTTTTCTTAAAATTACCAATTCAGGGGCAGCAACCCAACAACGTGTTGCTTGATTGGTCTGAAAATTTCAGGGCAGATAGATCTTGACCTAATGAACAATTTTATGGTCTTTGTCAGATTTGCTCTAAATGCTTTGGTTTCAGAGATATGAGCCAAAAACTGCATTTTACCCTATGTACTATTTTTTAGCCATGTCGGCCATCTTGGTTCGCAGGCGGGTTCATCAGACACATTTTTTAAACTAAATACCCTAATGATGATTGTGGACAAGTTTGGTTAAATTTGTCTTAGTAGTTTCAGAGGAGAAGATTTTTGTAAAAGATTACAAAAATTTAAGAAAAATGGTTAAAAAATTGACTATAAAGGGCAATAACTCCTTAAGGGGTCAACTGACCATTTTGGTCATGTTGACTTATTTGTAGATCTTACTTTGCTGAACATTATTGCTGGTTACAGTTTATCTCTATCTATAATAATATTCAAGATAATAACCAAAAACGGCAAAATTTCCTTAAAATTACCAATTCAGGGGCAGCAATCCAACAACGAGTTGTCTGATTCATCTGAAAATTTCAGGGCAGATAGATCTTGACCTGATAAACAATTTTACCCCATTTCAGATTTGCTCTAAATGTTTTGGTTTCAGAGATATAATCCAAAATCTACATTTTTCCCCTATGTTCTATTTTTAGCCATGGTGGCCATCTTGGTTGGTTGGCCGGGTCACCGGACACATTTTTTTTAATAGATACCCCAATGATGATTGTGGCCAAGTTTGGTTAAATTTGGGCTAGTAGTTTCAGAGGAGAAGATTCTTGTAAAAGTTAACGGACGACGACGGACGACGGACGCCAAGTGATGAGAAAAGCTCACTTGGCCCTTATGGCCAGGTGAGCTAAAAACCCACCCACGGCAAATATTTAGAAACATATTTAGTATATATCACTGTACAGCTATTTTTATAGTATTTTTATAAAATTTTTCATGTAACAAAATCATTTTCTTAACTCAAAGCCACAATTTAAGAGTGCAATTCTTTTCAAAATGAATGAATTTATACTTCAACTACTGTTTCTTTTTAATTCAAAGCAAAATCATACTGAAAACGATAATCAAAGTACTAAAAGCTCTCATGGAAAGCTCTATTTTACAAATGAACTAAAAGACGGTTTGATTCTGAATCCATATTCTCCAATTTAAAACTACTAATTGCATGTTTTGTCTTTAACCTGTTTCCTTGAGTATATCTGGCACCTGCTTTTATATACATGTACTTTAATAATTATAATGAAATGCACAGAAATGTGCTGGATCCGCATATTTATGCATATTTATGCAAATGTAATGTTGTTGAAAATCTTACATGCTACTCGTGAACATTCATTTGTGTGTAATTATGCCAGTTATTCAGTATTTTGGTCTTGTAGTACCTAATATGGAGGCTGTAAAATTAGAAAAACACAAATCCCAACATTAGTCAAAAGGTCAGGTTTGAAAAGTTGATGACAGAATAATTTGTTGTAAATTTTTAACAAAAAAAACCCATCATAATTGTTTTTTTTAGTGTAAAATACACAAAATTTTAGCTTTCTTTGTTTGTTTTTAAACCAGTAGATCCTGAATCCTTTACATTTCTTTTTAATTGCCCAAAATGACATTCGAATCAATATCATGATTATATAATTTATAGTTCAAAAAAGCATTGATACCAGCTGACTTGGCAAAGACTGATTTACTTTCAGTTTACAGCAAAAGTAGCCATATCATTGTCCTTGTACTATTCGATGAATTGTCACTTCCATTCTGGCTTACAATTCTCATTGCATATTCACAAAAACAAGAACACATCTAATATCTACCATGAATAGCATAATTCTTATTTTGGGTAGGTTCTCACTATCGTCACTAATTCACTTTCATTTTCAGAAACTAACTGTTTGGTGGATGAGGTCTCTGATTTTTCTTACAGAAAGTATACATTTATTCTTTAAGTTTGTTCAGTTGTTATTCGGTTTCCTTTTTATCAAAGTATCCAACTTAGGAAACTATTGCAGCTCATGTAATTTGCGATGTAGCCTTTCCAACTCCATTTTTTGAATATCTGCTGAGTCCATTTTATTCAGTATCTTATGTAATTGCTAAGTACATTATATCAACCATATCCACACATGAATATTTGCACTTTGAAGCTTTCAAATTCAGTCTTGTCCTATTAAACATGTACATCTTACATGTACTTTAATTTCTACCCACTTGATACATTTTGTACATGTTTTTCAAGGATAAAATAGTTTCTCCACAACTTCTATCATGATTTATGCAGATCAGGACATGAGCAGAAAAAAATTAACATGAGCATCATGCTAAACAGTAAGTAGCTTTGACTGCTGAATTTTCATTCATAGGTGGCTTGTTTTCTTTTATATTGTATATATGGGTTATACTGCTCAAGCAATGAATAGCTTCTGAAGTATGTGGTCACTGAAAAGCCTGGACGACCTGAAACATAAAAAAAAATACATTGTTAGATATACAAATATAACCCTTTTGAACAGAAACTAAATTATGACAGAAAGAAACAACATCATATATATATATAATTAAAACAATTTTAATACAATCGGACATACTGTTGGGTTGCTGTCCCATTGACATATAATCCACATCTCCATTTACTCATGTACATGAGGTGTGAAAAAAAAACTGATGTAACTATAAATGTACTTGTATGTATTAACATGATAACTTAAAATAGATTTCCAAATCCTAACCTTAAAAAAACATGTATTCCTTTTAAAAGTTTTCCTGTTAACAATTTCTATTTCGCCTGCATGGTTAACTTTATAATACATATAGTACAAAAGGTGGCAATAAATTAAGTATCACTGTAGTAGATAATTTCAGGCAGTAACAAATCAACAAATATCCAAGTCCAACCAGATCTAGTGATAAAATTCCAGGTTTTATTCCCATACTAGCTGTACTTATAATCTTATTTTCCTGATTTTCCTGACATCCATTCTTTTGTTCCAGTCAAAATCATTACAAGGTTAACCACCAAAAATATCCTGTCATGTTTCAATCTGCATAAATTTTTTGTATGAAGATTGAAAATGAACAAACAATAAATACCTGAGAAGTCTACAGCACAGACCCCTCTTTGATGTTGACCTTTCAGTACTGACGATGTTTCATTGATTCTGTATCCCAGATATGTATAGTTCATCAGTCTCTTCCAACCTGTATGTACATAAATTAGATTGAAATATATTTAAAAAAAGATTCTACTACTACCACAAAGGTACATTTGAACAATTATTCCATAATTTCTGGCTTTGTACTTGTTTTGGCTTTCAAACTTTTTTCATCTGAGCGTCACTGGTTGGTCTTGTGTGGACGAGACGCACGTCTGGCGTATTGAATTTTAAACCTAGTACCTTTTGTTAGCTATTATTCGTGTGTTTCTTTGTCCTATATGTTCTCCCATTTATTTGTTTTGTGGTCCTGTCATGTGATGTTGTCGTTTTGGTGTTGTGTTTGACGTTGCCATAAAAGCGAGAGGTTTGGCATGCCACAAAACCAGGTTCAACCCACCATTTTTTTCTTAAAATGTCCTGTACCAAGTCAGGAAAATGGCCATTGTTATATTATAGTTTGTTTCTGTGTGTGTTACATTTTAATGTTGTGTTTTTGTTGTGTCGTTGTTCTCCTCTTATATTTGATGCGTTTCCCTCAGTTTTAGTTTGTAACCCGGATTTGTTTTTATCTCTATTGATTTATGAGTTTCGAACAGCAGTATACTACTGTTAAAATTGAGAATGGAAATGGGGAATCTGTCAAAGAGACAACAACCCGACCATAGAGCAGACAACAGCCGAAGGCCACCAATGGGTCTTCAATGCAGCGAGAAACTCCCGCACCCGGAGGCGTCCTTCAGCTGGCCCCTAAACAAATATGTATACTAGTTGCCTTTATTTAGATATATTTTATAATATTTAGATATTTAAGGTTTGCCATAAATCAATGGATAATGTTTGATGTCACATGATATTTTTCTCTCTAAGGGATATAAGCCAATAACAATCCATTCTGTAAAATATTTTACAGAATGGACTGTTAGAGGCTTGTATCTTACATTGTTTTACACGTTGAAACCTGAAAATTATAAAAACTTTCATAGTCCCCTGGTTCATGAAGGAAGTTCTAATTCGCACTTTGTACACAGGATAAGGTTTCGGTTGTTCATGACCCTTGTATTGCGGCATGATCTATCAAATTTTAGAAGCATTACTTTATTGCTTTTTTCATTTTAGTTGCAGTTGAAAATGATGTTAGGAAGAGCATCACCAGAGGTCAATTTTGATAACCTAAAGACAGACGAGGATAAATCTTTTGGAAAAAGAAATTCATAAAGCAATAAAAACAAGACTTACAACGAGCATAATCAACTTATTGAATTAGTGCTAAAAGAGACAACCCAAAAACATGAGAAAAATGGCTGTGATATAAGTATTGGTAGTGTTAATAAACTGTTATCACAGAGATATGTCTCGCTTTTTTGTAATTTCGATCATGCAAATGTTGAAATTAAAATAGCAACACTTTATTTAACATGTATGTTTTGCAAATACTCAAAGTCAATGAACCATGACTAAAGGTACATGGCTAAACAATCTCCATGGAAATGAGATGTACCAAAGCTAATACAACTGCATACTAAATACCATTGACTTATCATAAGTAGTTTCCTTTAAACATACCTATAAACACAAGCTCATACATTTAAATAAAGCAAAATTTCAAACGCAAGTTAATACATTTAAATAAAGCAAAATTTCAAAGTCAATAAACCATAACTGAGGGGGCGGGGGTCAAATAATTTTCCTGGTAATGAGATGTGCCAATGCTAATACAACTGAATACTAAATATCATTGACCTATCGCTAGTGGTTCTCCATAAACCGATCTAATCACAAACTAATACATGAAAACTAAGCAAAAAATTCAAAGTCAATAGACCATGACTGAGGGGGCGGGGCCAAATAATCTCCATGGAAATGAGATATGCCAATGCTTATACAACTGCATACCAATAATCATTAACTTACCACTAGTGGTTCCCCATAAAATGACCTAATCACAAACTAATACATGAAAACTAAGCAAAGTTTCAAAGTCAATAGACCATGACTGAGGGGATGAGGCCAAATAATCTCCATGGTAAATAGATGTGCCAATACTTATACAACTGCATACCAAATATTTTTGACTTACCACCAGTGGTTCACCATAAACTAGACATAATCACAAACTAATACATTGTTGAGGCCGCCGTCGCCGCTGACGCCAGAAACAGCATACCTATGTCTCGCTTTTTGACTCCATCAAGCGAGACAAAAATCAATTTGAAAGTGATTTTTTCCTCAAGAAACCATTTTGATGAGTGACAAAATTATTGTGTTGGAAGGTGACTTTAATAAAATGTTTTTTTAATTGTCATTTGATCTTTGGTTTTATTAATTAATAGTTTTTTTTTATTTCAGTGATTGAACTATCATTTACCTGTAAGAATCAGTAATGCTACCTTTAGCTGTCCAATATTTTTAAGAAAGAGGAGGTCTATTCTTAAAAATATTGGACAGCTAAAGGTAACATAATGGTTTCTTACAGGTTAATGATAGTCCAATCACTGAAATAAAGAACGGGTAAAACAATAGAATGACATCACAACAATGTTTTAATTATCCATAACATTTTAGAATATGAGACAGGAGAATGAAATGCCAGACATGTGACCTCTAGTCTGACTTTCTGATTGGCTTAAGTCATCTCTATAAAAAAACATCCTTTTCAAACGATAATTTCAAGATAACAGATAAACAACGTTTCAATAGTAATTTCCTAAGATAAAAAAAATATAGAAAAATGCACCTAGCTTATTAAAGAGGCATTTATTAGCAGCATGTTTATGATAAAATCGCCAATATATTGCATCCTTTTTTGTTGATAGTTTACTATAAAGTAACAATCAGTAAACTTCAGCTTCATAACACGGCAATTAATGAGCTACCATATTTGTTAGATCATAACAGACAGAGAGAAAAAAAATTGACAATTTAAAAACGATATCTTTGCGTAAAAAATGATAAAATTGTGCACAGAAGACTAAGTTTATGATATAAACATGCATTGGTTCAAGAATTGGATAAACATTATTTTTTAGTAGTCACTCGTTTCATATGACTTTAAACTTGAGAATGTAATAACTTCAATGTTTAGTGAACCGTGGAATAGGCCTATATACCATAGTAATTTCACGCCATGTGGCCTTATTTTCATGTTGATAAGACCACAACGTCAATGTAAACAACCTAAAAATCTATTTGGACTGACAGACGAACAGACCATCATACAACATAATATCCATTACAATCATAAGTCGGGTTTAAAAATAACATGTAATTGGAATTAGCTGAAATGATTTTTTTTCAATTTATTGTTGGCTTTGCTTGTGAAAAGTTAAAAAACTTAATTTTGGTATACATTCTTAGTAGACAATGTGTTCAAAGGGAAATAACTCACCATAACCATAAAACATCTATTTTCTATACATGTCCCAGTACAACTAATGATTCCTGACAAGATAATAAAGGCTCCTGTTCCTAGTAGCAAGTATGTTGCCAAAGGGAAAGTACTGTTCCCTAGCAGATTGATATAGGTATGCTTCTGGAACTTGATATATAACCCTATTGCTAGGAAAGCTAACCGGGCTGTCAGCTGGAAAAGAAATATAGAATATATCATGCATAAAAATACTATTGAATTTTAAAGAACATTTAATTAATTGACAGAACATGATAAAGAAAAGTTAGGAAACGGAATATTTTTGTAATTTGAAGTTAGCAATGTTAGCTGAAAAATTAGAAATAATTTTATATTAGGATCTTTTATCCTGTTAGCATGGTTATAAAATCTTACTAGCAACAGAATACAGTAAACAATGAACGAAGAATTTCATTTAATTTGAACAAAGAACAAAGGGAGATTATTCAATTAACATGTATCTATATCATCTATTATGTCTTATTTATATACATTTACAAATTCTATACTTTATATAGTTAGTTCTGAACATGCATATATAATATTTGCCAATGGATGATTCTAAGCAACCAATAATCAATAAATCATTTAAATTGTAATATCTTTTTAAGTTGCCTTTTCTATAACTATAAACATATATATAATACACTTACCCAAAAGAAAAAGTTGAACACATAAAGGACGACTTTTAGGAAGTTTTTACCACACAGGTCCCTTTTTCTCCTATTACTTCCTCTAGCATTATCATTCATTTTGGCATTGATTGTAAAATCCCAAAACTAATAGAATGTTAACTTCTGTTTAACCACTGTCTGCACACTGCACACTGCACACTAACAATCTTTTGTTACTGATATCATATGCAGCTTTTTTTCAAATTCAATGAGGCTATTTGTATTGATTCAGTTACCATCCATCTAGCTATTGTGAAAGAGAAAGAAAATATTACTATCATAACAAAAAATGTCCACAGATATATACTGCACTTAAAGTTAACTTTAGTTACTTTCCTGAAAAAACCAATTAGATAATTTCACATAATCTTTACTTTATGACTTTATAAAGTTTTTCTATCACATGAAAAAGTAATTATAATTTAATGCATATAATAAACGTAATTAACTGCAGACCAGTTGTCTGGCTATGCTTCATCTCACAATATATTGTGTATACATATACACCTGGTGATACCCACCCAGATACATTATTCACATATACGACCATGCAATACCCTCATGGATAACCAGGGTCAGTAAAAAAAAAAAACATGTCATTCACAATATAAAAACCATACAATAATTTCTGTATTAACAGTATTTGAAATGTTATACAACAGTTTAACCAGGTATTTAAAATCTTAACCCTGTGGTTTTTAGATACAATCCAAATGGACTTTGATGCTTTGATGTTGATATTTAAATGTCTTCTTACTTTTTGTGTCATTAAGTTGCTGTCTCATTGATATATTATACACTTTATCTCCATTATTCAACTTTTTATCATGGTAAGCACAGGTATTTAGGCCATGTTAAATTACTGAAAGAACTTATATGTATGGGCTTTGCTCATTGTTAAAGGTTGTGAGGTGACCCGTAGCTGTTAATTTTTTGTGTCATTTGGTCTCTTGTGGCTCGTTGTCTCATTGGCATTCGTACCACATCTTCTTTTTCATATTATGCAAGATAATGCCTGGTTTCCCCTTTGATTTGTTCAAATCTTCAAATATTAATGTAAACATAAAGCAACCAGATGCTCCGCAGGGTGCAGCTTTATACGACTGCAGATGTCGAACCCTGAACAGTTGGGACAAGTATGGACACAACATTCAAGCTTGATACAGCTCTGAATTTGGATTGTGATTAATAGTTGACACAGCATAGGTTTCTGGTAGTCTAATGAACTTAAAAAATTTATTTGCTTTTGAGTAATACACTATGCTGTTGAATATTATCCCCTCAAAAAAAAATATTTAAAGAAATCTGAAATGAGAAAAATTGTACCCCCTACCCCCCCTCCCCCCCCCCCCCCTTTTTTTTCATCTTCTCTTTTCCTTTATTCCAATAATAATCTCAATTCAAATTTCTTATGGAGTTTTTAACAATAACTACTCATTTAATAAATACATCATAAAATATAAAAGTATAAAATGACATTATAAGTCATGGTTAAAATTAATATAAATGAATAGTATTACTTCTAAAAAAAAAATTACAGCTTATCATCTCAAGACAATCATCATTTCTTAATACATAATTTTCAAACAGTGTAAGGGAGGTAATCAAACATATATATAACAGTATTCTTTAAATTTGAATTGGATTACCTCCCTAACACAGCTTTTAAATTGTCTAAATTGTCCTTTAACCAGAAAAACACTTGTTTTCCCTCTTTTTTGGCCCCTAATTGCTAAATGATTTAAGCCATAACCCCCAATAACTAGCCCTTTGTAGTATGGAAACTTGTGGTATAATTTCAGAGAGATTTATACACTTAAACACAAGTTATTGACTGTAAACTACAACAAGTTATTGTCTGGAAACTAGAAAAATGCTTGTTTTTGGCCCTTTTATGGCCCCTAATTCTTGCATGAATGGGACAATTACGCCCAAACTCAATCTAAGTCTTCTTTTTGTGATATGGAACTTTGTGGTACAATATAAGAGAGATCTATACACTTACACACAAGTTATTGTCCAGAAACTACAAAAATGCTAGTTTTTGGCCCCTTTTGGGCCCTTAATTCTAACTGTTGACACCATAGACCGCAAAATGAATCCAAACCTTTTACTTGTGGTATTAAACATTATGGTACAATTTCAGAGCAATTGAAATACTTATACACAAGTTATTATCCTGAAAGTAGAAAAATGCTTGTTTTGGGGCCTTTTTGGGCCTCTAATTACTAAACCGGTGGGACCATCAACCCCAAAATCAATCCCAACCTTTCTTTTGTGGTATTGAACCTTCTTATTAAATTTCAAAGAGATCCATTCATGTAAACTAAAGTTATTGTCCGGAAACCAAATGTGTCATCGGACAATGCAGACGACAACATCATACCATTATACAATCCAAAAAAAATGTTTGCGGTTAAATATATGTATCATGTGTGCCTAAAGACTACATCAGGTGCCATTTAACCAGGTGCCGATTTGACCGGATACTGATTTGACTAGAACTCTGACCAATGAGCTGTTGAATACCATAAATGGGCTGTCGACATTTGATCGAGCTTCCATCGTAAATATTGGTCACAGTGTAATTAACCAGATTGTTTTGGGGCCAGATTGATTTGGGGCCAGAACAACCTGATACCCTAGTACTGATACCCTAGTACTTTACCAGTATATAATAGAACATTAGTAAGTTAATCTGTTTATATCTAGTTTTAACCATTTACCCCCCAGGAGATATATCCTGTCATTCCTGTTGTCTAGTGTTTATTGTACTTCTTCTTCTATATTTTGTGGTTATTCTGCAGTTGAAATTTCCATAACACAGATATACTGTGCGGGTGTGTCAACCAGTACACGCAAAGTTAAAAATAAACAAAATTGTGTATTTACAGGAACAAAATCAAATAAAATTATGTGAGTTTGCAACAACTGTACAGGGTTAAAATCAGGTATCAATACAACATGTAGTTACGCCAGGAACTGCCACACACAGACCCGGAAGGCGTCTGTTGTGGGGGCTTGGATGGCACTTTCAGGTAATTGGTGCCAGTCAAAAATTTGTTCTGGGGATGAAACTGTGTTTATGGGCATCCGTTGAAGTGCTGACTCTGGAAAACCTGTCTCTGTGGTATTGTCTGGTTGTTACAGTTGGTCTCCTGATGTAATCTGGGACAATGACTGATGCTTCTCCATGCAGGATCTTATATAGGAGTATAAGCCTGGCTCCTTGTCTGCGTGTTGCTAGTGTTGACCAGCCAAGTGTCTGTAGGATGTTGGTTACAGAACCTGGTTCCCGAGAATAGGTTGTTGTAGATCTAGTCGGTTGAATTATGTAATGACAAAGCATACAATATTTGAATACTTAAATTGTAAATAAAATTTAACTTCTGTTTATCTATCTTGATAGTAATTTGTGTTGTCATCTATCTAAAACACGCGAATAAAGTAAAATCACACAACAATATTGCACTTTGGATGAGTTTGGTAGAAAAGTCACGACAACAACCTAACTTCCGGTTGGTTTTGTTTAATAAACAGAAGTACTCCAGTTGCTCCGTTCGATAGCCAATGGTCAGAGATATTTTGAATGAAGAAGGTTTTATTTTGGGAAACTAAGATAATAACAGTTTTATTTAACATTCAAATACCAAACCTGTTTTCGTAAATTAGAACATTCTTAAAACTTATATCTGTTATGATTATTTAAAAGAAAATCTATATGTAATATGAATTGTAACTGAACCTTGTGAAAACACTGTTTATTCTAAACTAAAGATAATGTTATTTATAGCGGGGAAATCGTGTCATTCTATAATGGGCATAAAATATGACTTGTACTCAGAGGCGTATTAAGTGGGGGACAGGGGTCCCGGTCCCTTTGTAGGAAAATTCGTTTGACTATAACTAAGTTATTTAGGGATCAATGAAGCATGACTGGAGTGGGACCCCTCTTGGCCACTACCACCCCCTTTATCAAAATTTCTGGATCTGCACTGGTACTGCATACATACTTTTATACTTTTATATCGGTACTTTATATTTTTCTCCTTTGCTTTGTTTTTACTTTTATATTCCGGCTCTGCGCTCAATTTAACTGTGCTTTTTTCAGTGTTGCTATCATGAGCACTGTGACATCTTGTTTCACTTAATAATGCTTTCATATTGATATGCATTTTATTTTATTTGCATGTCTTAAATTGTTTACATGAATTGTATACGCCTTTTATTTGTTCGTTGGTAAAAAGCTGTACAGAGCTTACATTATTATAGGTTTATAATGTACCAAATTTTATTTTTCTCAACCTTGTTATGTTTTATAGTCTCACTTATGGGTACTTATTGGTCATCCCTAATGACCGACTTGTTTTGTATTTCTGTGAAGCAGAATTCCAACAAAACATTTCAAAGATAATAAATTGCTTCGCCGAGCGCAGCTAGATACGACCGCGGAGGTCCTACCATGAACAGTTGGGGCAAAAATGGACACAATATTCGCGCTTGGGTCTGAATATGGATTGTAATTAAATATTTGACACATAATAGGATTCTGACAGAGAATAAATGTAGTCAAGGAACTTAGAATTGGTTATATGTTTCAATTTATATTAATTTTTTTGGCTTATATGCAATACACTATGCTGTTGAGAATTGACCTCCCTACCCAAAAAAATACACCCCTTAAGCTTTGCTTTTGTGCAATACACTATGCTGTTGCGTATTGACCCCTCATTTTTTTTTGCCCTTGTGCAATACACTATTATGCTGTTGTTTATTGACACCTCCCCTTTTTTTTTGGCAAAAATAAATTATATTTAAAGAAAATGTCTTTTTAATTTCTGAAATTTCTTAAATCTAAAATTTAAAATTCCAAATAGAATTTGCAACCATAATTACCCATTTAAATACATCCTAAAATTCTTTTTTAAAACAGTTAGTTCTCTCTTGATGGTTGTGTTTTTGACATTTTCACCTGTTATGTCTGTTTGATTTGTTCACACATCGTTGTCAATATAATGGAATTTGATGTGACTGTCATACAAGTGAGAGGTTTAGCTAGTTATAAAAGCAGGCTCAATCCACCATTTTCTACATAAGAAAGTGCCTGTACCAAGTCAGAATGATAGTTGTTATCCATTCATTTCATGTGTTTGAGCTTTTGATTTTGCCATTTGATTAGGGACTTTCCGTTTTGAATTTTTCTCAGAGTTTAGTATTTTTGTGATTTTACTTTTTTCTAAAAACAAATTGGCAGCAAATCACCTCAAGACAATACATTTCGTTATACATGATTTAAAAGTAGTGTAAGGGATGTAATTCAAACGTAACATTCATGTACATACTTAAGTAAGTAATAGTCCATCAAACAGGAAATCATTGTTTTCCCCTAATTCCTAATGGTTTAAGCTATAACCCTCAAAAGCCAATCCTAACCATCCTTTTGAGGAATGGAAAATCGTGGTATAATTTCAGAGAGATCCATACAATGTTCCACAAGTTATTGTCTGGAAACTAGAAAAATGTTTTTTTGGGCCTCTTTTTGCCTCCTTAAATCCCTAAACTGTTGGGACCACAACCCCTTAAATCAACCCCAACCTTTCTTGTGTGGTTATAAACCTTGTGTTCAAATTTCATACATTTCTATTTACTTATACTAAAGTTATTTAATTATTTAATGTAAATTTGAAAATAATTGATAATCATTATGAATGTCAAAAGTGTATATTTAATTTTGAAGTGTTTTGGTTGTGTTGATAAAAAAACATGTTGCAAAAAAAGACTAGATGTGTCGAAACGACACGAATGGCCCCCATCTCAAAAAGTTGAAAAATCTGCAATTTTAAACAACACATGTGAACACAAACATGATGGTAGTCTCACATATCAAAATTCTGCTCAAAATCTTCAGGCTTTAAAAAACTCCATTTAACTGTGATTTTCGACCATTTATCAAAGTTCAAAGCCTGTAATTTTGGGGAAAATTAGCAAAGCGGAACTAAACATAAACTTGATCTGTAACTCATCATGGTTAACTCACATACCAGAAATCAGCCCAATATCTGAAGGCGTTTAGAAAAAAACCTGTATAACTGTGATTTTCAACAATTTATCGAAGTCCAAAGCCCGTAATTTCGGCAAAAATAGTAGAGCAGGACAAAACTCAAACTTGATCTGTAACTCATTATGGTTAACTCACATACCAAAAATCAGCCCAATATCTGAAGGCCTTTAGAAAAAAAAGTCTGTATAACTGTGATTTTCAACAACTTATCAAAGTCCATTAAGCCTGTAATTTTGGCAAAAATTAGCGGAGCAGAACGAAACTAAAACATCATCTAAAACTCATCATGGTGAACTCACATACCAAAAATCAGCCTAATATCTAAAGGCATTTAGAAAAAAGCCCGTATAATGGTTTGTTGCGGAATGACGGAATGATGGAAAGATGGATTGACGGAATGATGGAATGACAGACAAGGGTAAAACTATATGGCCCCGACAGCTTTGTTGCGGGGACATTAAAAGCTTCATCATGTGTAATTACTAGTTCATGAAGATCAAAAATGTTCTCAACTTGGAAGAAAAACACAGCACTTGGTATCATTCCAACATGAACTGTACAGAAGCTGCTGCTTAATTTGATGAAAAGCCACAACTCTATCTAGCTACTGAGAAGTGCTACAATGTTTATATATAAGCAGCACATAAACAGTAACAAGAAAGGCTGTTAACCTGTGAACTTTTAAACGACAGCAATTTCTCAATATTTAAACTTATCAGATTGATGTAGAAAACAGAAACTACATGAGACAAAACAGAAACTATACTTCCAGACCAGTACACCCTGCCCTTACTATGAAATCACATTCTCTCACAGATTAACTCCCTCTCTATATTCCACTCACAATCATATACCCTCACCCTCTCCATCATTCTATTTTTCTCCCTCCCTTTCTCACCCTTTCACCCTATCATAACACCCTTAACCACCTACCACCTATACCCCTTCTGCTTCGTGTTAAGTCCCTATGAGAAAATTGGGTTAGTAGATGAATACGATATTATAAGATGTACCAGATATGGAAGATCTTAAATTTTAGAAATGTGAAGGAAATTTAGAACTGATTGATATCAAACATAAATATATGAACCTGAGCCACTTTTAGAAATGTAGTCTTATTTTCTACACATAATGGTCATCATAGCATTCATACAAAAGATTAACAGCCAACGTTACAGAAAGCCAAATTGTGTAATGTAAATTTGAAAATAGAATGCTGTTTTGATTGATAAACATTATGGAGGCCAAAAAGTATATATCCCACTCTTAATTTTGAAGTGTTTTTGGTGTGTTGATTACAAAATATGTTGAAAAAAATGAAAAAAACATAAATGAAAATTGCCAAATGGTATAAATCCAAAACACGTAAAACAAAAAGCCAAATGAAAAATGCCAAAGTTTAAAAATGCCAAATGGTATTAAAAATACCTGTCTGCTTGTACTAGCCAGCTGGCCTGTGGGTTAGCTGGACTTTAAGGTGCTAGTTCACCAAGACAAATGCCCACAGTAGGTCACCTATCTTTTCCTTTTGGAGTACCAGTTTTTAAGTCTTTGATTTGACTTGGGGGCTCAACATTTAACTAAAAAAAAGATTAAAAAAAAGGTCTCCTGTATAAATTAAAATTTGGTCTTAAAAAGCAAAATATTCCCTTTGTCCCCCACACCCAAATGGATAAAATAATGTAAAAAGTCCCTCATTTCTCAAATAATCATAAAATGACCTGCCTCAACTTATAAATTAGGATAAAAACAGTAAAATATCTCCAATTAAAATTTGGATAAAAACAGTAAAATATCCGCAATTACAATTTGGATAAAAACAGTAAAATATCCCCAATTAAACTTTGGATAAAAACAAATAAAATACTTTTTTCCCTTAAAAGCATGTTACAGAGCTTCACATGCAGACTGAGCCACCTCACTCTCAGTTTGTTCCAGTAAAAACAATAAAATATCCCCAATTAAAATTTGGATAAAAACAGTAAAATATCCCCAATTAAAATTTGGATAAAAACAAATAAAACACTTTTTCCCCTTAAAAGCATGTTACAGAGCTTCACATGCAGGCTGAGCCACCTCACTCTCAGTTTGTTCCAGTAAAAACAATAAAATATCCCCAATTAAAATTTGGATAAAAACAATAAAATATCCCCAATTAAAATTTGGATAAAAACAGTAAAATATCCCCAATTAAAATTTGGATAAAAACAAATAAAATACTTTTTACAATTAAAAGCATGTTACAGAGCTTCACATGCAGACTGAGCCACCTCACTCTCAGTTTGTTCCAATAAAACAATAAAATATCCCCAATTAAAATTTAGATAAAAACAGTAAAATATCCCCAATTAAAATTTGGATAAAAACAGTAAAATATCCCAAATTAAAATTTGGATAAAAACAGTAAAATATCCCCAATAAAAATTTGGATAAAAACAAATAAAATACTTTTTTCCCTTTAAAAGCATGTTACAGAGCTTCACATGCAGGCTGAGCCACCTCACTCTCAGTTTGTTCTAGTAAAAACAATAAAATATCCCCAATTAAAATTTGGATAAAAACAGTAAAATATCCCCAATTAAAATTTGGATAAAAACAGTAAAATATCCCCAATTAAAATTTGGATAAAAACAGTAAAATATCACCAATTAAAATTTGGATAAAAACAAATAAAATACTTTTTACAATTAAAAGCATGTTACAGAGCTTCACATGCAGACTGAGCCACCTCACTCTCAGTTTGTTCCAGTAAAAACAATAAAATATCCCCAATTAAAATTTGGATAAAAACAGTAAAATATCCCCAATTAAAATTTGGATAAAAACAAATAAAATACTTTTTTCCCCTTAAAAGCATGTTACAGAGCTTCACATGCAGGCTGAGCCACCTCACTCTCAGTTTGTTCTAGTAAAAACAATAAAATATCCCCAATTAAAATTTGGATAAAAACAGTAAAATATCCCCAATTAAAATTTGGCTAAAAACAGTAAAATATCCCCAATTAAAATTTGGATAAAACCAAATAAAATACTTTACAATTAAAAGCATGTTACAGAGCTTCACATGCAGGCTGAGCCACCTCACTCTCAGTTTGTTCCAATAAAACAATAAAATATCCCCAATTAAAATTTAGATAAAAACAGTAAAATATCCCCAATTAAAATTTGGATAAAAACAGTAAAATATCCCAAATTAAAATTTGGATAAAAACAGTAAAATATCCCCAATAAACATTTGGATAAAAACAAATAAAATACTTTTTCCCCCTTAAAAGCATGTTACAGAGCTTCACATGCAGGCTGAGCCACCTCACTCTCAGTTTGTTCTAGTAAAAACAATAAAATATCCCCAATTAAAATGTGGATAAAAACAGTAAAATATCCCCAATTAAAATTTGGATAAAAACAAATAAAAAATATCCCCAATTAAAATTTGGATAAAAACAGTAAAATATCCCCAATTAAAATTTGGATAAAAACAGTAAAATATCCCCAATTAAACTTTGGATAAAAACAAATAAAACACTTTTTCCCCTTAAAAGCATGTCACAGAGCTTCACATGCAGGCTGAGCCACCTCACTCTCAGTTTGTTCCAATAAAAACAATAAAATATCCCCAATTAAAATTTGGATAAAAACAATAAAATATCCCCAATTAAAATTTGGATAAAAACAGTAAAATATCCCCAATTAAAATTTGGATAAAAACAAATAAAATACTTTTTACAATTAAAAGCATGTTACAGAGCTTCACATGCAGACTGAGCCACCTCACTCTCAGTTTGTTCCAATAAAACAATAAAATATCCCCAATTAAAATTTAGATAAAAACAGTAAAATATCCCCAATTAAAATTTGGATAAAAACAATAAAATATCCCCAATTAAAATTTGGATAAAAACAATAAAATATCCCCAATTAAAATTTGGATAAAAACAGTAAAATATCCCCAATTAAAATTTGGATAAAAACAAATAAAATACTTTTTACAATTAAAAGCATGTTACAGAGCTTCACATGCAGACTGAGCCACCTCACTCTCAGTTTGTTCCAATAAAACAATAAAATATCCCCAATTAAAATTTAGATAAAAACAGTAAAATATCCCCAATTAAAATTTGGATAAAAACAGTAAAATATCCCCAATTAAAATTTGGATAAAAACAGTAAAATATCCCCAATTAAACTTTGGATAAAAACAAATAAAATACTTTTTTCCCCTTAAAAGCATGTTACAGAGCTTCACATGCAGGCTGAGCCACCTCACTCTCAGTTTGTTCCAGTAAAAACAATAAAATATCCCCAATTAAAATTTGGATAAAAACAAATAAAATACTTTTTTCCCTTTAAAAGCATGTTACAGAGCTTCACATGCAGGCTGAGCCACCTCACTCTCAGTTTGTTCTAGTAAACACAATAAAATATCCCCAATTAAAATTTGGATAAAAACAGTAAAATATCCCCAATTAAAATTTGGATAAAAACAGTAAAATATCACCAATTAAAATTTGGATAAAAACAAATAAAATACTTTTTACAATTAAAAGCATGTTACAGAGCTTCACATGCAGACTGAGCCACCTCACTCTCAGTTTGTTCCAGTAAAAACAATAAAATATCCCCAATTAAAATTTGGATAAAAACAGTAAAATATCCCCAATTAAAATTTGGATAAAAACAAATAAAATACTTTTTTCCCCTTAAAAGCATGTTACAGAGCTTCACATGCAGGCTGAGCCACCTCACTCTCAGTTTGTTCTAGTAAAAACAATAAAATATCCCCAATTAAAATTTGGATAAAAACAGTAAAATATCCCCAATTAAAATTTGGATAAAAACAGTAAAATATCCCCAATTAAAATTTGGATAAAACCAAATAAAATACTTTACAATTAAAAGCATGTTACAGAGCTTCACATGCAGGCTGAGCCACCTCACTCTCAGTTTGTTCCAATAAAACAATAAAATATCCCTAATTAAAATTTAGATAAAAACAGTAAAATATCCCCAATTAAAATTTGGATAAAAACAGTAAAATATCCCAAATTAAAATTTGGATAAAAACAGTAAAATATCCCCAATAAACATTTGGATAAAAACAAATAAAATACTTTTTTCCCCTTAAAAGCATGTTACAGAGCTTCACATGCAGGCTGAGCCACCTCACTCTCAGTTTGTTCTAGTAAAAACAATAAAATATCCCCAATTAAAATGTGGATAAAAACAGTAAAATATCCCCAATTAAAATTTGGATAAAAACAAATAAAAAATATCCCCAATTAAAATTTGGATAAAAACAGTAAAATATCCCCAATTAAAATTTGGATAAAAACAGTAAAATATCCCCAATTAAACTTTGGATAAAAACAAATAAAATACTTTTTTCCCCTTAAAAGCATGTTACAGAGCTTCACATGCAGGCTGAGCCACCTCACTCTCAGTTTGTTCTAGTAAAAACAATAAAATATCCCCAATTAAAATGTGGATAAAAACAGTAAAATATCCCCAATTAAAATTTGGATAAAAACAAATAAAAAATATCCCCAATTAAAATTTGGATAAAAACAGTAAAATATCCCCAATTAAAATTTGGATAAAAACAGTAAAATATCCCCAATTAAACTTTGGATAAAAACAAATAAAATACTTTTTTCCCCTTAAAAGCATGTTACAGAGCTTCACATGCAGGCTGAGCCACCTCACTCTCAGTTTGTTCCAGTAAAAACAATAAAATATCCCCAATTAAAATTTGGATAAAAACAGTAAAATATCCCCAATTAAAATTTGGATAAAAACAGTAAAATATCCCCCAATTAAAATTTGGATAAAAACAGTAAAATATCCCCAATTAAAATTTGGATAAAAACAAATAAAATACTTTTTACAATTAAAAGCATGTTACAGAGCTTCACATGCAGACTGAGCCACCTCACTCTCAGTTTGTTCCAGTAAAAACAATAAAATATCCCCAATTAAAATTTGGATAAAAACAGTAAAATAATCCCAATTAAAATTTGGATAAAAACAAATAAAATACATTTCAATTAAAAGCATGTTACAGAGCTTCACATGCAGGCTGAGCCACCTCACTCTCAGTTTGTTCCAGTAAAAACAATAAAATATCCCCAATTAAAATTTGGATAAAAACAGTAAAATATCCCCAATTAAAATTTGGATAAAAACAAATAAAATACTTTTTACAATTAAAAGCATGTTACAGAGCTTCACATGCAGGCTGAGCCACCTCACTCTCAGTTTGTTCCAGTAAAAACAATAAAATATCCCCAATTAAAATTTGGATAAAAACAGTAAAATATCCCCAATTAAAATTTGGATAAAAACAAATAAAATACTTTTTTCCCCTTAAAAGCATGTTACAGAGCTTCACATGCAGGCTGAGCCACCTCACTCTCAGTTTGTGCTAGTAAAAACAATAAAATATCCCCAATTAAAATGTGGATAAAAACAGTAAAATATCCCCAAATAAAATTTGGATAAAAACAGTAAAAATATCCCCAATTAAAATTTGGATAAAAACAAATAAAAAATATCCCCAATTAAAATTTGGATAAAAACAGTAAAATATCCGCAATTAAAATTTGGATAAAAACAAATAAAATACTTTTTTCCCCTTAAAAGCATGTTACAGAGCTTCACATGCAGGCTGAGCCACCTCACTCTCAGTTTGTTCTAGTAAAATCAATAAAATATCCCCAATTAAAATTTGGATAAAAACAGTAAAATATCCCCAATTAAAATTTGAATAAAAACAGTAAAATATCCCCAATTAAAATTTGGATAAAAACAAATAAAATACTTTTTACAATTAAAAGCATGTTACAGAGTTTCACATGCAGGCTGAGCCACCTCACTCTCAGTTTGTTCCAGTAAAAACAATAAAATATCCCAAATTAAAATTTGGATAAAAACAGTAAAATATCCCCAATTAAAATTTGGATAAAAACAAATAAAATACTTTTTACAATTAAAAGCATGTTACAGAGCTTCACATGCAGACTGAGCCACCTCGCTCTCAGTTTTCCCTTAAAAGCATGTTACAGAGCTTCACATGCAGACTGAGCCACCTCACTCTCAGTTGGTGCAAAAAATATTTTGACTGAGCCATCGCACATCAGTCAAACTGAGCCACCTCACTCTCAGTTTAACATACCAGTAAGAATGGATACTTGATAGGTATGACGGGGGACGTTCCTATACCTAAAAGGGAGGTATAGTATCTGTGAACCCCAAACACAGAGCGCGGCTTAACTTCGTCATACGTATACACAAGTATCCAATGCTAACTGATACATAACGTTGTCATGTTTTTCATGTCAGTCACTGAAAATAATTTTTAAATGTTACAACTGAAATAATAACAAAAACCTTGATTCCAAGTTGCCTGTGATAGGAAGTGAAATAATATCAAAAACCTTGATTCCAAGTTGCCTGTATTAAGAAGTGAAATAACTTCTCTGTAAAATATATCTAGTTTTGAAATTCTTTAGGATTGAAGAACATGTTGCATTCTGGTAAACACAGTGTGACAGCAACTCAACTATAAAGTAAAACCAGAAAGATATGAAAATGTAAAAAGTTGAGGTCTGGAGCTGGCATGTCAGTAACTGCTAGTAGTCTGTTGTTATTTATGTATTATTGTCATTTTGTTTATTTTCTTTTGTTTCATATTCTGACATCAAACTCAGACAACTCTTAAACTGAGTTTCACTGTGCGTATTTTTGTGCGATTTTTTTTTCTACATTGGCTAGAGGTATAAGGGGAGAGTTGAGATCTCAAAAATACATGTTTAACCCCGCCACAATTTTGTGCCTGTCCCAAGTCAGGAGCCTCTGGCCTTTGTTACTCTAGTATGATTTTCAATTGTAGTATCTTGTGTATAATTAGTTTAGTATGATGTCCATTATCACTGAACTAGTATATATGTTTAGGGGCCAGCTGAAGGACGCATTAGGGTGCGTGAGTTTATAGCTGCATTCAAGACCCATAAGGGGCCTTCAGCTGTTGTCTGCTCTATGGTCGAGTTGTTGTCTCTTTGACACATTCCCCATTTCCATTCTCAATTTTAGTCTTTAATCATTACTTTTTCAAATTATGACTTGGATTGAGAGTTGCCTCATTGGCACTCATACCACATATTCTTATATCTATTTAACAATGACTTGTTCTTAGGTGGAAAGTCATTTTACTATTTATTCGAATTTCAAGATATCTCATATAATATAAGATATGTTATATAATATAATATATGATATCTTATTTAATGTATAAGATATCTTATTCAATATATGATAGCTTATAATTTCATTTTTATACAATATCTTATATATCAAATGAGATATCTTATATATTATACAAGATATAGATATCTTATATATTATATAAGATATCTCATAAAGTATATAAGATATATTACATACTTTATATGATATCTTCTGAATTTTATAAGATATCTCATATAGTTTAAAAGATATTTTATAAATTTTATGAGATATCTTAAAAACTATTTGAGATATCTTATAAACTATATAAGATATCTTATATAATATGTGAGATATCTTATAAAATTAAATGAGATATCTTATATAGTTAATGAGATATCTTATATAGTTTATAAGATATCTTATATAGTTTATAAGATATCTTATATAGTTTATTAGATATCTTATATATTTTATAAGATATCATTGGCATTTAAGGATAGTTATTCTCATTAGCAACCCTTCCATATATCCTTTTTTTTATATGGTTGAGAGATAAATGTAGTTTCCTGTGTGTATAACTGTGCATTGAGATGCACTTTCAGGCTAAAAATAGACTTGATAAATTTCTGGCAGCACATCTATCAAGAATTAGCATATGACAATTTATTCTGTTATAAGTTTCAAGAAAGAAAATAAAAATTTGTCTATCTTTTATGTTGTTTTTGTTTATTCTAAACATATAAAACATTTTCATAATTCATTTAAATGAGCAAAAATTCTTCAATTCATACCAAGAATGTACCGTTTTAAACAAATCCTACTGAAATCTGAAGAATACCGTACAAGTTCTTCAAGTCTTTAATAGCATACAAATGTTTGTCACAGGCTATTATGGCCTTGTAAGTGTTCATATGAAAAATACCACATTTAGGTCATACAAATGCTAGTCCAGATAACATCCATGTAGTCTTTGAATTATTTGATTATTGTCTCATTTTTGTTAAGGATTCACTTCTAATACAATTGACCTTATTCAAAGATGACGTGTTGACAACTCCTCTTCAACCAAATTGCTTGTTCTGAACTTCTCTCAACATACTGAAAAGTAAAAATAAGATTTACTATCCCTAAAGTATGCATGTTTAAGTTTAATCAGCCATTCATATGTAAAGTTTAGTTTAATCAATTTTGAATAATTGGTAAATGATTATAAAAAAGATGTGGAATGATTGCCAATGAGACAAATCTCAACAAGAGACCAAATGGCACAGAAATTAACTACTTTAAGTCACAGAACATGGTCATAGATAAAAGGCTCCAAAATTACCATAGTAAAATAATTCAAACAAGAAAACTAATGGCCTGATATAAGTACAAAACTAGAGGCTCTAAAGAGCCTGTGTCGCTCACCTTGGTCTATGTTCATACTAAACAAAGGACATACATAATAGATGAGAATAGAATTCATGACAAAATTATATTTTGGTGTTGATGATGTGTTTGTCAATCTTACTTTACTGAACATTCTTGCTGTTTCGATTTTCTCTATCTATAATGAACTTGGCTCAGTAGTTTCAAAGGAAAATATTATGTAAAAGTTTACAAAAATTTACATAATTTACGAGAATTGTTTAAAATTTACTATAAAAAGCAATAACTCCTTATTGACCGTTTTGGTCAAGTTGACTTTTGTGTACAATTTGGAGTTTAGTATGGCGTTCATT